GAGTTCCACCTTTTTCAAAATCACCTAATCCCCCCCTAACAACAGCTCATAATGTTTCTCCTGCTCTTTTTGCCCACCCTGTGTCCCCCATAACAACTTTTGTGTTTCTCCCACTCCTTCTGCCTGCCTTCTTTCCTCATCCTCTGTCATTCTCCTTCCCCCACTTCTGTCCCCCCCCCTCTTTCCTCCTCCTCTGTAGCTTCTCTTTCACCCTTTGTATCCCCTTCCAATGTAGCCGCTACCTCTCCATCTTTAACCCCTGCCACAGTTTGTCCTAATTCTCAAATTCTTTCAGGCTTTGGTCGAATTCGATGGAAGATGAAAATCGATCGCCATTGCTGAATTTACTGAAACCATTTTTCTTTGGCGGAGTAAGTCTGACTACTTCGCTTCCGATACATCCGGTGAATGCGCACGCGCATTGGAATTTGAGTCCGAACAGCCACCGAGGGCTATTCGGACTCGAGTCCTAATAGCCACTTTAATCGAATGGAAAAGCTAATGAAGAAACTGCATGTTAGAAAAAAGTCAGAGAATATAAAACATTACGTGCGCAGTGAGGTTGAGGAAAAGGTCAAATTATATTCAAGCCCATTACATTTCCGAGTCCGACAGAACATTCACCAATTGGTGACTTGCAATCTACTCATTTGACAACACTTAAAGACACACAGATATATACTATTTGGGGACACTGTAAAAAGAGACTTTGTTATTCATGTATTTTCTTTTTCTGGAACCTAAATCCACCTTTGTATTTCTGATTTGTATATGATGGCTCGACATTTGCTCCATCCTAGCCACTGGGTTATTGCAGATCTGACATAATGTGACTTTCTCTAACTTACTCCAAACTTAGGATTAATTCTCCGTCTCTTTACTATTACGAGCCAGTGATTGAGGTTATTTGAAATATGTCCATTTTCATTCTTTCTAGCAAATAAAATTTTGGAACACCCCTGTTACCTCTGGAAATGCATTGATAAAGGAGAAAGCGTTGGCTTCCTTGGACGCGCGTATAACATCTTCCATTGTAGCGTTTTCCATGCCATAGCGAATGTTCTCTCCGATGCTCTTGTCAAAAAGTACTGGTTCCTGGCTGACGATACCGATGTGTCGACGTAGCCAATTCACGTTCAGGTCTTTTAGATCGTGATTGTCGAGGAAGACCTGGGAACAGTCAGAAATGCACATCATTTTTCTGGACTCCTATTGTGTTTTCATTTCTTTTTCTAGAAACTGGTGACTGTTGAACATTTTGATTAAATTTTTACTGACTTTATGGATTAAACAGCAGTCACCTAAATCACATAGTTTCCTAAAGGAAAAAAGCTCGGAGGGTGATTTGGAGAGACGTTCATCACGATCGTCTTCAAGTAATCCAAATGGGTTCGCCGTGAGCAGAATCGGTACATTGGGCTATAAACGTTCACAGAAATAGCCGTCTCCACGCTACAAATCTTGCAAAATTGGACAGTTAATACGTGCTATTCACTTCACCTGTCCACGCAGCGGGTCGTAGAAGCGGAGCAGCAGCTGCACGCACGTGCTTTTCCCACAACCACTCGAGCCGATCAACGCTACTGTTTGACCGGGCTTAGCTTCTATGGTCAGTCCGTCCAGCACCTGAAAAAGACCGAATCAATAAATCAATATATGAGTTCCTATTTCACACCGCCAATTTGTCTGTCTGTCTGTCTGTCTGTCTGTGTGTCTGTGTGTCTGTCTGTCTGTCTGTCTGTCTGTCTGTCTGTCTGTATGTCTGTCTCTCTTTCTCCCTCCCTCCCTCCATCCCTCTCTCTCTCTCTCTCTCTCTCTCTCTCTCTCTCTCTCTCTTTCTCTCTCTCTCTCTCTTTCTCTCTCTCTCTCTATCTCTCTCTCTTTCTCTCTTTCTCTCTCTTCCTTTCTCTGTCTATTTGTCTATCGATCTACTTCTTTCTATCTTTCTCTCACGCTGTTTATCTCTTTCTGTGTTCCATTTCTCTCGATTTCTTCTTTGTCTATTTATTTTGTCTAGCAGTTTGGAAAACCTTTCGTGTTGTAAATGGGAAAGATGAACCTCGATTTTTTCATTTCTAATTCTTGCTTTGCATCTCCATTTCGATTCTTTACTCACCGTAACGTCGGGCCTTGCAGGGTACGAGAAGTGAACGTTTTTGAATCGTATTCTGCCGACTAAAGATGCGGGCTTCTCCCCTGAGGGTGAGCTGCTGTCTATTTCTGATACCTATGAAAGGAAAGAAAATGGTAAGTGTTTACTTTTCTGGATTTTTTTCCACATTGCTCTTACAACGCTATAACTAAGACTTTAAAAAAATTAAGATCATGGTTTTGAGCGTGGACCATGAATGCTCAGTTCTTAAATTTAAATGACGGTTACCTTAACACTACCCATTTTCTGCTGATCAAACTTATTGTATCACTTCTTAAAATTGCATTTGTTGCCATCCGTTGCCATCTAAATAGTCTTTAATGTTTTTATTTTATTTCACTTTTGGGCTATTATTAGTGACTAACAGGCAGATAACGCATTAATTTTCCTTAGAGACTTCACACTGACAGAATTTCACAATGTGAATATCAAACCTACAGTATTGACGTCACAGTGTTTATGAATTTTCCCACATCTAAAGGCGTAGAAGAGATTGTAATAGAATCGAGGCTCAATATGACCCCGTTAAAGATTGTATATTAAAATAAAAACTATTCTTGGAAGGAGTGGGGACATTTTGAATCCTGAATACAAAACATGTAGGGTAGTTTTTGTTATTCGAGGAGAATGACCTTACATAGCGCATGTTTCTGTAAACGTGTAGTTGATGCCTCCATTCAGAGCTCACTAGACCTACTACGTTCCTTTCCACTCTCTATGGAGCCAACATGGAGGTAGCCGAGACGCCAAGCCGGAAAGAGGGTTTGTGAATAGGTATGTGTCACGACACGGTGGAGTCCGGCGAATGTCAATTGTGTTGTATGAAGAGTTTTGGTATTATCTTAAAGCTTGTTTATGTTTCTTGCTTTTGATGAAAAAATACAATCTTTCTCGAACAGTAGTCAAGAAATCTGTGATTTAAGTAGCTGGGGATCGCCCGATGTCTGAGGCAAAATTAGAGAGAAAATGCTCCGCAAAGTTTAGAGACTTTCAAAGCTTCAATGTCCTTGGAAAATCCCAATTTATATTTATGGAGACTTTTTATGAACGGTAATTGAAGTTGTAGAGCCCCCCCCCCCCCCCCCTTTCACCACCAAAAATAAAAAAGAATCATTAAAAATTTTCCAGAGGGTTGAAAATGTCACTTTTGTTGATTTCATTATTGCAATGAGCGCCCAAAGTCACCACGCTGACACACATACAGGGAGATAAAACAAAACAACAACCAACAACCACAAACAAAATTGTACAACCTTTTTTGTTAATATACTCTTCCACTATGAAGTTTTGCGTTTCAAATTTGTACACAACATTTGGAAGTCAAAAGGAATTTGTCTGATATTATTTTAGATAAATCCACCGAATAGTTTTTCTCCACATAGCGCGTAAAAAACAGCCCATTTTCAGCTATGTCCCCATTTTTTGTAGAAACACGCACGAGTTTGCATTAGGCCTACCACCAAAAATCCCAACGATTGCGCCATATTGCAAACGACAGTAGTTTAACAGGCCAACAGAAGCTTGCAGATAGTTTTCCCCAAGTTTCATGGTTAAGATCAGTAAATAGCAGAGAGCTTTTTGTATTGAATATTCCCTCAACACCAACTCATTTGGTACGTTTCGCACAAGGTACGGAAAAAATGTACGGAGGAAATGCTTCATCAGTTAGGACATGAAGAGAATCAGAACTAAACATTCCATGACACAACGACCAATTCAGGTCAAACACCCACCGGTTACACCCCTTTAAACGGCACCAGGGTGCAGAATTCAGTAGCTGAGCCTCATGAGACGTCCGTCAGTAGACTATGGCTGCAGCAATGACTTTCCTGGTTCTCACGGTCCGCATTCTCAAGGCATATCTTCATCTACGACTGTACCACAAATGCTGTCTACTCGGGCAACCTCAACTCTCTCCCCTCTATATATATTGTCTTTAGAAACAGCTCCATACTGTAAGTTGTACTGTGTGTGTGGCTTTGAGTACTCATGGTTGAGTGGATCCTTGTGTTTGGCCACCACTGAACATTGCGAAAGACACGTTCAAATGTGTTGAGTCCAAAGGAGGAAATATAGACCTTTGGTTCTCGGAATTACAGAATCTAAAAAACATATTTTTTCAACTTTGTAGGAGATGCTATTTATGTTAGCGGTGAGATCCCAGAAGATATGATGAAATCAATTTTTATAGCTTTACCTAAAACACCAGGTGCCACTGAATGTGATATGCATAGAACAATTAGCCTTATGAGTCATATTACAACAATATTGCTTCGAGTAATAATGGGAAGATTGAGAAAAAGTGTAAGACCAGAGATATATAAAACGCAATTGGGCTTTGTTCCTGACAAGGGCACTAGAAATGCTATATTCACGTAACAATGTTGATGGAAAGATGTATTGAAGCACTGAAAGATCTGTATTTATGCTTCATAGATTATTCAAAGGCGTTCGATAAAGTTAGACATGCTGAGCTATTTATAATACTCGAAAAGCTAGACATAGATGAAAAAGATCTAAGAATTATCATAAATTTGTACTAGGACCAAAAGGCTGCTGTACGAATTAATGGAGAATACAGTGAATATATGAAGATTAGACGAGGAGTGAGGCAAGGATGTGTTATATCACCAGACCTCTTTAACAAGTACATTGAAACAATCCTTAGAAACATAGAAGAATGCCCAGGCCTCAAAGTAAATGGAGAAAATATTAATAACATCAGGTATGCAGATGACACAGTTTTGATATCAGGCTCCGGAAAGGACCTTCAATTGCTTCTAGATACTCTTGTAACAGAAAGTGAAAGTAAAGGATCATTGTAGAATATAAAGAAAACAGAATGCTTGGTAATATCCAAAAAAGCAGCAAATCTTAGTTGTAATCTCATTAGCAAATATGAAAAGATCAAACAAGTCCAACAGTTTAAATATCTAGGATATATGATAACATCTTATGCCAAATGTTCCACAGAAATAAAAAGGAGAACTACAATGGCTAAGGCTAGTTTCAAGTAAATGAGCCAAATCCTGAAAAATAGAAACATCTCAATGAACACTAAAATGAAAGTCCTGAAATGCTATGTTTGGTCAACCCTTCTATATGGCTGTGAATGCTGGACAATCACTAAAGACAGTGAAAATAAAATAGAAGCAACAGAAATGTGGTTTCGTAGGAGACTGCTAAGAGTATCGTGGAAAGAAAAGAAATCAAATGAGGTAATGCTTGATGAAGCCCACGTGGGATGCTCAACGTTAAAAACAATCAGGAAACAATAAATGTAGTTTTTGGGACACCTGAATGGACATAAAGGTCTTGAACATCTAGCTCTCACTGGCGAAATTGAGGGCAATCGAGGCAGGGTTAGGCCCAGAACAACATACTTAGGGAACCTGAACAAATGGGTAACAGGAAAAGATCAGGGAAACATAGCTTTTGAGAGCATCCGAGCAAAGGAATGAATGGGAAACCATGATCGCCGATGTCTGTCGCAGATCTGGCACTGGATGATGATGAGGAGGAAAGAAATATTGTTTAAAGGTTACAATGATGGATAGATCAGATTTATAAAATAAAATGAAATGGAAAGAAAAAAACAATCTTTTTATGACTTTCCTTACAAGATCTCCTAAATTGGTGCATTTTGTGTTTATAGGTGTTTTATTTTTATAATAGCTACTTTTGTTTTCAAAAATAGGTATATTCTTTGTGAATTGTCTGTCAAACAAATTAATTTGGAATGAATTATATCTGTTCCAAATTACCATATTCTTGTACAAATTGTGTGCAAGATATTTAGTAAAAAGGTTGTACTGTTTGTTTGTTGTTTGGATCTTGACTCCTTGTAGAAGCGGGTTGAAGGTTACCTAGATTGCTTACCCTGTCAATGATTTCATACACCTTGGCAGCAGCTCCCCGTGCACTTGCCACATGCTGCATATTGTCCAACGCTTTCCCCAAATGCATGCTGCCCAAAAGGACGCTAACCATCACCTAAAGAAATAGTGCGTTTATTTTTTATACAGAATATATAATTGAAAGAAAGCAAGGTATCGAAAGATGAGATAGCATACATTCGTGGTGCTTGTAGGTAAGTAGTAAATAAGTAAGTAAGCAAGTATGTAAGTTTTGTCAGTATTTAAAACCATTGGCCCATATCACATCATATGAAATTTGTTAAATAAACAAAATATTTGACATGGTGTTTGATGTTCTTAGAAGGGTCCCTTAAGGTACACCATGGCAGTAGCCAACAGCCAGAAAAAGTCGATTTGTACTATTTTAGTAAAGCAACATCTGCTTTACCGACTGAAGATATTTTCAAGTGTCTAAAGCATCTATAAAGTGCTCACATATGCCATGTTTATGAACATTGTGTTGAAATAGACCAGTATGAATTCAGGTTTTTTCAGTTTTCTCAAAATTATGATTTTCTCGGGCCGGGGGCGGTCACCTCTGTAGAGATATTTCTGAAAGTACATGTCACAGCTTAGTCCCACTTTTCATGACATTTTCTAGATATTGTGTTTGCAACGTACTAAAAGAGTATTGTGATATTGTAATAAGATTTCTGTCCGTGTTAAAAAGATTGACAGTATCACTCTGATTGTGATCATTTTTTTTGTCCGAGTATTGTGTGTATGACACTAAAAGGGCAAGTACAAGAAAAGTATGAGACTTAGGAAAGTGAATCTTTAGTACGTTGCAGGTTGTATATATAGAAATACTGTGTTAAAATGTCACGGCTGTATCAAATCAATCTTTTTCAGAATCCCTGCATAGAAGTTGCGCGAAGTTTGGTCTGTTGAACCCTGTGCATCTGAAGAATTCAGAAGATTGACAGTGAAATCGTATAGGGATAGTGTGTTTCTGTTTCTTGACCCATATTGGTTACTGGGAATCCCAGTATACTTAATTTAGAGCCCAAACAAAAATATATTCACTTCAGCTGTACCTCGTGCCTCCTAACCCGCGTATCACTATCACTCGAAGAAAATATGGGTACCAAAGAGTACAGTCAACAAAAACTTTAACAAATAGATGCTCAGTTTTTCTCACCAATAGCACTTTACCCAGGTCGTAGTCGTCGTCTCGCACTTTTTTACCCCCATACCAGATGGAGATAGCGTAGAGACAATAGACACAGAAATGGTTCACGCCCATCGAGAATCCAATCACTATGTTTTTTAGGATTCCACGTTTCTTGGCTTCGTTCACGTAGATTTTGTACCTGAGATAAAATATCATGGTCACATTTGACGGAAGCCAGTGACTCACACGCACAAAAACAAATGAACAATAGGGATATATGCAAACGAAAACAAGCGTTAAAAAATATCCATAAAAAAAGGTTGTGCTTTGCCGTAGCCAAATGTTAGTCTTCGTATTGGATTCTTAGAATCTGAATAGCAAACCATTTAAATTGAGAACTAATTGATGTCTTTTTGCCTTGGTGTTTATAAATGTGCCTTGCGGAAGGCATCCACTTTACGATGCAATAAAATGATTACAGAAAAAAACATATTCCAAAGTAATAGGACTTTTCGACTGATGAGGGATGATGTCGTGATTTGGCAATTTATTTGTCCATAGGACATCCTTGTGGGTGTAAGCCTTGCTCGAGCATCGATAATCAAACAATGTTTTAAAATCTACTAAATAAACAAAGCACCACACTACTAGTTAAACATACTTATTTTGCTTCACAAACCAAAAAGAACAAAAACAAACACGCAAAGAAGAGAACGGCAGAAGTGTAGCAACAACAAGAAGTCAGATTTTACAAGATGACCTAGTTTGCCATATATTTGATTAAACCTAGTACATCTCATTTGAATACAAAGAAAAGTTTCGGCCACAATCAGGTTGAAAGTAAATTCTATACAATGATATCCCAGTAATAAGACTTGAGGCTTTCATTTGCTGACCAGGCGTAGAACACGTTGTTATTGAATTATTCCATTTTATATGCCTCATTTCAAAAGGCTGTAGAATAAAATGGTGGGTCGTATTCCTTCAAGGTCTCAACTTACATGAAATTGAAATGTATTCCTACTACTAGCAAAGTTAACAAAAAGACAAAAAAGGTGTGGTATTTTCATATCTTTTTATGATATGATTTATGTTAAGATGACGTAATTTTTAAACAAGGTGATCCTTCTCCGTACCAGCCATTAAAAGCGCATAAGCCTTATTACTAAAACTTGATTTCAATCTGACTACTGGGGGGGGGGGGATTTTCCGAGTACATTGCAATTCGGTGAGACCTGTTCTGTGAATGGAGAAAATCAGAAAAAAATTGGTAAGAAAGATTTAAGATTGTTTATATTTTTCTTTTTCATGGTTTCTTGTCACGTTGTTCGAATGCATACGTTTCGTTGTAAATGTACTTACCTGTCACGGTTGGAGGGAAAATGTTGTGTTTTCAAGCAACATCAGTTATGAGCATTGAGTTAAATAAGAGTAAGACATATTGTAAGAGCTGACTGTTCATTATATCTCAATGCAATTTTTATTTCCTTAAGAAAATAAACATTCTCTCAATTTTGCTATCCGTGAACAAAAACACACGTAAATATTTTGTTTAGTTTTCACATTACTTTGAACTCAATCATCGCTACCACCACCACTACCTAAAATGTTACAAGGAACATAATGTATCCGAAATCTATGGTGTACATGGCCACGCGTGTGCCAACACACACCAAAGACGTCGAGGAGTCTATTTTATTAAGTGTGTCCGACTTTCTACTAGGATGCTGTATCCCACACAGCTTTGAATCGTCTAAACTGTGCCTATCAGGCTGTAGAATAATCTCATACCTGTCGATTTCCTTCTGCTGTCCACCGTAGGATACGACTGCCTTTATAGAGCCGAGTACTTCTTCTGCTATAGAACCAGCTCTAGCGTAGGCTGCTTGTTCTTTGGACGACATTAGAGCGTGAGCCTGCGGGTGTCAAGTTCAAGTGAAAATAAAACCAGACCTGCAGAACGTTTACCTTCATACTTTCTTAATCAATATTTCTGAAGGAAATACAAAAGTTGACGTTTTAAAACACCAAAAAAAAAACGAATATGAAATAGCCAAAGACAAAGGGGTAAAACATCTTACTTAAAATCGATACGTTTGGCCCCTCACAACAATTCTACTTAACAACGAAAAATTTGATCAGTGATTTTGAGCTCAAGCAAACATATTGTGTGACTATGTACCAGATCAACGTCATGCAATGTCACTGAATGGACTTGCATCAACATCAAAGTGAGTCCAGTCCCCCCTCCCTCCCTAGCACACACGGACACATCATATAATGTGTACACAATCAACTTAGAACAGCTGTGGGCCACGTACCTAGGTGCAATTTGCCTGCAATATTGGCTGTTGTTTAACTTCAGTTGCTTTTTTCCGCTCTCTTATCCGTTTGCTTTTGGATTTTATCAACCAGCATTATAGCCAAGCATGTCTGTCCAAATGCCAGAACACAAAGAACTTTTTAAAAACATATCGTCAGAGATCAGACCCCGGGATTTATTATACATGTAAGCCTGCTATCGGCGAAATCAAGTAATATCTAAAACTGTTATAAGTGGAGTCTTCTGTGTTCACGACTGCAGTCAAGCCAGAGGTCACTAGCATGAGGATAACTTATTTTCCACAGCAACGCTGCAGTTCAATAGTTTAGAATAACAAACCTTGGTTTAGAGGATCACAAGGTAAATAAAAAACAAAAGCTTAAAAGCTTAAAAATCAACACAATTCCCAGCCTTCTTGGGCTTTCAAGTTTCAAACACGGAACGTCGTTTTTCACCACGAGGGAGACAATGTTCTAAGCAGTTTGGCTATTTAGTGACCAAATGTCACGCCCTTCTTCATTACTTATGTTATAGTTTCTAATGTGCACCGATAACAAAGAACTTATCACCTTTAAAAGCATAGATGAGCATACTCCAATGAACGGAGACACTGACAAAATAACAAGCGCCAATTCCCATCCTTCAATGAAGGAGTATATGATCAAAGCAATGCTACTTGAAAGGTAGAATATGGTGTTAGCCATTCTGTCGCCGATTCCACTTTGAATATGGTTAACATCCCTGTTAAGAAAAAAGACAAAGAGAACGATACTGAAAGTAATGCA